TTCACTGAACATGTAACGAGTAAAATATTACTGAAAATTGATTAGTAATGCCTTACACTACTGCGTTACAGCAAAAAGTAATATGTTACAGTAATGTATTACTTTTGTAATGCGTTACTCCCAACACTGTTCATTAGCTACTAGTACTTATTCAATAGATACTAGTACCTAATTATTAGATACTAGTATTTATTCCAAATGTTACTAGTAATACTTTTTATTTTACTAGTCACAACTGCTTTTTTACTAGTCCTATGTTAAGACTAGTCGGAATGGCCACTGTAGAGTTCAATTAAAAATCTTACTAGTAAAATAAAAGTTCTTACTAGTAGCATTTGAAATAAATACTAGTATCTAATAAATAGGTATAGTATCTATTGAATAAGTACTAGTATCTATTTAATAGGTACTAGTATCTAATGAATAAGTACTAGTATTCTAATGAATAAGTACTAGTATCTATTGAATAAGTACTAGCTAATGAATAAGTACTAGTATCTATTGAATAAGTACTAGTATCTATTGAATAAGTACTAGTAGCTAATGAATAAGTACTAGTATCTAATGAATAAAGTACTAGTATCTATTGAATAAGTACTAGTATCTATTGAATAAGTACTAGTATCTATTGAATAAGTACTAGTATCTGAATAAGTACTAGTAGATGAATAAGTACTAGTATCTAATGAATAAGTACTAGTATCTATTGAATAAGAATAAGTACTAGTATCTATTGAATAAGAATAAGTACTAGTATCTATTGAATAAGTACTAGTATCTATTGAATAAGAATAAGTACTAGTATCTAATGAATAAGTACTAGTATCTAATGAATAAGTACTAGTATCTATTGAATAAGTACTAGTAGCTAATGAATAAGTACTAGTATCTATTGAATAAGTACTAGTATCTATTGAATAAGTACTAGTATCTATTGAATAAGTACTAGTATCTATTGAATAAGTACTAGTATCTAATGAATAAGTACTAGTATCTATTGAATAAGAATAAGTACTAGTATCTATTGAATAAGTACTAGTATCTATTGAATAAGTACTAGTATCTATTGAATAAGAATAAGTACTAGTATCTAATGAATAAGTACTAGTATCTAATGAATAAGTACTAGTATCTATTGAATAAGAATAAGTACTAGTAGCTAATGAATAAGTACTAGTATCTAATGAATAAGTACTAGTATCTATTGACTAAGTACTAGTATCTAATGAATAAGTACTAGTATCTATTGACTAAGTACTAGTAGCTAATGAATAAGTACTAGTAGCTAATGAATAAGTACTAGTATCTAATGAATAAGTACTAGTATCTAATGAATAAGTACTAGTATCTAATGAATAAGTACTAGTATCTATTTAATAGGTACTAGTACCTAATGAATATCTACTAGTATCTAATTTATATGTACTAGTCACAATTGGAATACATACTAGTCAGAACTGAATAGTTGATATCTGAATGACAGGTCCCCATAGAAGTCAATGGCAAAAAAAAAAAAAATGTTACTAGTCACTATTGAAATAAGTACTAGTATCTATTTAATAGGTACTAGTATCTAATGAAGAAGTACTAGTATCTAATGATTAAGCACTAGCAGCAACTGAATAAGTACTAGTACTTAATGGAATAGATACTAGTATCTAAAAAATCCTTGCTGAATAGATTTCTTTAGCAAAACCCCAAACTTTGAACAACAGTGTATGTTCCACGAGTTCCTGCATTGTCTTATAGTTTATGTGCCCTGTATTCATTTTTGGATGAACTACTCCTTTAACTCTCTTCACTGAACCTCTCTAGCACCTTGTAGTGATGATGAATGTGTTTGTATGGCGGTATCTCTCTCTCTCATTATCTCTCTCTCTGTTGATGCATTGCAGATGTGGAAAATGTGCCAATGCATTGATTTATGGGCAATTTAATACTTTTTGGTTCCTGTTATTACAAAGAAAAGAGTAAGATAAGAAGGGGTCTTGAGTCTTACCAAAATTAAATTTGATATGGTCTTTGACTTAAAAAATGTGTACAGAATGAATCTGCAGATAAGTTTTTTCTTACCAAGCATGTGAAAGCATGTAAAAGAACTCTTGACCTTAAAAAAAAAAAAAAAAACACACAAGTGCACCCAGAGTGTCAGCACTTTCCCAAGGACAAAACTGTGAGAAGATGAGAAAACTTGTTTTCTACTGTCCAGTTTTTGGCTTATTAACTTGTTGGAAATGGATGTGGCATGTGGTATTCGTCTTCATTTACCATCTCTCTCTGTTGCCTTTTTACTATCTCTTTTTAAAAATGTTCAAATTTGCAATTAAAACATAGGGATCTGGTTGCAAAATCCTTTTCATAATCTTGGGAAATAGAAAAATGTTTGTACTGATATCATATGAACTTTTCAGTTCTAACTGTTCATGCGTTCATTACCTCAAGGCTAGATAATTGTAATGCTTTACTGGGTGGTCGCCCTGCACTCTTAATAAACAAACTCCAGTTGATCAATGAATGCGTCCTTGCTGATAAAAGTATGAATTAGTTGGGTTTTTTTTGGGTTTATTTTTGATTTATTATATTTTTTGCACTGTAACTGACATCATCATCGTGTATCATTTGCTCGCCCTCCTCTCTCACTCCTTTTCAACATTCCGTGTGTGTGTTCCAGAATTCCGCTCGCCCTCTCACATCAGCGGACTCAACCGATCTGCGTCTCTAAACTACACGGATCACCCTGAACCTCAGTCTGTTGGTGGCAGCAACACACAGCTCAGCAGCGCTCCATTGCCACAGTACACACCAGACTTCAATGTCCGAGCTCTGGCAGACCTACAGTTTGTGAAGGTAAAGATATGATGTTAGTGATGCACCAGAAATGGTCAAAACCATTATGGAAGGCTGAAATCCGAAACGGTGACATTTAATTAGCGCTTTTGCAATTGCTAGCTTATATTTCATGTACACAATGTGGATAAAACTACAACAGGTAAACATGTCGGCTACATGTGTGTGGGGTGGACACTAGGGCTGAGTTGACATTGACAATATTGACTTCTTATTTTAAAGTCACCGTGAATCAAAATGGACAATTCATAATTCATTTTATTCATGTGCCATCGTTATATTTAATCAAAGTAACTTCCCTTCCCTTCTTGCAGCAAAACTTTTTCAATACCCTCTGTTTACTGGCGCGAGGGCGGGACAACCTGTCACTCACAAAGGACCCACCTATAGAAAACCAAAACGATTCAACCATCCAATCAGTTCCCCATTGACAAAATCAAGCCCCGCCCTAAATTCTTTTCTTGTTCTAGAAGCCGACTTTAATATCTTCATTTAGTCTGTGCTGTTTTCAGTTGATGCATGAGCAAAACTTCACTGAACATTATTTGTAGCGTACCTACCATATAAAAATCGCAATAAGCTTTGTTGCTTTTCTGTCATTTTTATAGCAAAATATAAAAAAATTACTCTCAGGAGGCTAAATATATAAAGCATTTTGCTATATATACTGTATATTGATTACATTTTTGCTTAACCTGTTGTCTTAAGTTGAAAATAAAAACAACTACAGCTACCGTTTAAATGTTTATATTTTACACTCACCTAAAGGATTATTAGGAACACCTGTTCAATTTCTCATCACATGGCAGTTGCTTTAAGGCATTTAGGGGTGTGGTCCTGGTCAAGACAATCTCCTGAACTCCAAACTGAATGTCAGAATAGGAAAGAAAGGTGATTTAAGCAATTTTTACCGCGGCAGTGTTGTTGGTGCCAGACGGCCGGTCTGAGTATTTCACAATCTGCTCAGTTACTGGAATTTTCACGCACAACCATTTCTAGGCTTTACAAAGAATGGTGTGAAAAGGGAAAAACATCCAGTATATGGCAGTTCTGTAGGCAAAAGTGCCTCCTAATCTCCACTACAAATGGAAAAAAAGAGGCTACAATTTGCAGGAGCTCACCAAAATTTGACAGTTGAAGACTGGAATATTGTTGCCTGGTCTGATGAGTCTCAATTTCTGTTGAGATATGAGTCAGAATTTGCCGTAAGCAGAATGAGAACATGGATCCATCATGCCTTGTTCCCACTGTGCAGGCTGCTGCTGGTGGTGTAATGGTGTGGGGGATGTTTTCTTGGCACACTTTTGGCCCCTTAAGGCGCTTTTCCACTGCATAGTACGGTACGGTTCGGTACGTCTCACTTGTGATGCTTTTCCACTGCATGGTACGGTACAGTACGGTTCGCTTCAGGTCGCTTTAAATGGTACCTGGTCTGTTGAGGTTCCAAGCGTACCATCCCGGTACTAAAATGTGACGTGAAACACTGCAGATCACTGATTGGTCAGACAGAATCGTCATTCCCTGCGTCACTACTAGCGTCATTGGATTTGCGACACGAGACACGAGACACTTTTTTAGCAGTATTTTTGTTTTGCTGCCATCAGCCTCATTTTAAACACATTTTTCCGTCTAGCAGTTAAAAACAACCACATACCGAGAATCAGGAACACCATCCCCTCGATAGTCTCCATTGTTCCTGTGTTGTGGGTTTAAAAATGTGGCGCTTTTAAGATGATGTCATGGCAGTAGAGGCGCGCGCAAATAACGATCAGTCCCACACACTTTGAAGGGGTACTACTGCGGTGGAAACGAAAAGCGATCCGAACTGTTCCGCGCCGAGTCGAAGCGTACTGAGCCGAACCGTACCGTACTATGCAGTGGAAAAGCGCCATTAGTGCCAAATGGCATCGTTTAAATGCCACGGCCTACCTGAGCATTGTTTCTGACCATGTCCATCCCTTTATGGCCACCATGTACTCATCCTCTGATAGCTACTTCCAGCAGGATAATGCACCATGTCACAAAGCTCGAATTATTTCAAATTGGTTTTTGAACATGACAATGAGTTCACTGTACTAAAATGGCCCCCACAGTCACCAGATCTCAACAATAGAGCATCTTTGGGATGTGGTGGAACGGGAGCTTCATGCCATCCCACAAATCTCCATCAACTTCAAGATGCTATCCTATCAATATGGGCCAACATTTCTTGTTGAATCAATGCCACGTAGAATTAAGGCAGTTCTGAAGGCAAAAGGGGGTCAAAAACAGTATTAGTATGGTGTTCCTAATAATCCTTTAGGTGAGTGTAGTTAATTCATAATAAAAAGGTTGAGATAAAAAAGTTCAGATGTTTATGTATGCTTAATTGAACTTAATTTTCGGTTGAAATGAAAACTTTCCTTTTGGTTTTGTTTAACTAATTTTGGTGCGTCACTAATATGGTTTATTCCTTCATCCATCCAATAATTCTACAAGATATTCCAAAAACCTCTCACAATACCTTTCCATCTCTTCTTGTTGTCCAGATCACACGCTCTCAGTATCAAAACGGTCTGATGGCGTCTCGGCTGGACAGCTCGCCCCAGTCTCCAGACAGCGGACACGGCCGTGTGAACAACAGCACATCATCCATTCCCGATCCCTCGTCGGAAAACACGCTCGCGCTCACGGATGCCCCCGACGAGACGACCTCGCTCCTCATCGAACAGAACAGCCAACCCATGTGCCAGGCCAACCACAGCACACACAACGAGAGTGCCATTTGACACACTCACACACAATTCACCGATATCCCACACAAACCCATTGGACATTTAGCACTTTTCCCCAGACCCGTTTTAGCGCTAGACATTACAGTAGATTACAGAAGAGCAATAGTTTGCTGAGACATCTAAAGAAGACTTTGTGTAACACATTGTGCAAGACGAAGGCACAGAGAAGCCAAAGTGTATCTGGACTGAGAAAGGACCCCTGTTTCAGACAGACTCTCTGGGGTGTTTTATAGACTGTGCGAATAGAGCCGTTTCTATATACATGAAGATGTTTATTTTGTCATTTTTCTATTGAGGTTGCTCACAGAAACGCGAATGAGGGAAACCTTTTGTGGATGCCTTTTTATTTGGTGTTAGTCCATAGCTCTGTCATATTTGTATCAAATTCTATATGTGTGTGAGAGTGAAAATGAAAGTGAGTACACGTGCCAGTGTATGTTTGTATATACGACAACGCATGAGTCCGATTTGGCCGTTGCAGCCCACGTAAGCAACAACTCAGGGAGACGCTGAGCTTCACAGACTAATTGCATGTTCGATAATTCCCTATTGATTTACGTGAACCCATGCGACAAGTGATCAAAAAAAAGTGAAGCATGCTGTCGTCAAATGCACCAAACAGTGAAATACTAAGATACACTGCATCTCATACACAAGTCATTTCTATGTCCGATATTTCTGCTGGTTGTCTGTGGAGGTTTGTTCATGTGATGCAGTGTTTGTGTAAGTGTAAAATTGTCCTTTTGTCCAAAGTAATGCATCGACTTTTTTTTTTTTTTTACTCCAAAGAGAACAAGCATTTTGTCGTTGTAGTACAACTGTAATTGGAGTCACTTTTCTGCACAAGACGTTTCTGTGTGATTAGAGCTCTCGAACTGTATCCGTTGCTCCCATTGGACCAGAGGTAATCTTAACCAAAAGAATTTGACTATTTGCTGTATTTATTTAGAATTCAGTTGAGGTTGTATATTTCTTAAATGATTTTCTTTTTTATTATTATTTTTGTGTGTGATTTCTTAAAATTGCTGTGCGTTTTATATGCTGGTTGACATGGTACAGACTACAAATTGTAGATGCCTAAAACTAGGAGATGGCAGGTTCAGGAAGTGACTTCATAAAATGTACTGTTTCTTTGCCTTTTTTTTTTTTTTTTGCCTCTGTTCAAATCTTTTGCTTTTATACCAAATATGTTTGAAACTGATGAGAACATGGAAGGTATCTTACTTAGTCACATGGACACAAAAGCCTCTTCAGTTATGTAGCATCTCTCGATTCTGATAAAAAGGGGTGCAAGAACTGCACTGTGTATTTCTAATTTTGCTGTTGACAGCTGCTCAGTGTTTTTTTTTTTTTTTTTTTTTTTGAGAAAACACTCCCTGTTCGTTCAAATTGTTATTCAAGTTATATCCTGTCCTTCTCAAATTAGTCATGAAATACATTGTGAGTTAACACAGATTATTTTTGTTTCTTTAATGGAAACTGAAGGTGTTAATTCTAGGGTATTGATTCTTTTTATACTGTATTTTTCCAAGTTATTTTGTGGTTTGGGAAAGGTCTTCTTTTAGATGATCTGAGTTTGGCTATTAAATTATTTATTTAATCAGTGTAAGATGTTTCATATTCTTGTATTCTTAATCAGTGCTATTTTACAAACCTCAAATGATCTAGAGAATGTGTTAAAGGACTAAAGGGAAGTAGTCCTTTATATGACTTTATATCCAGTTTTTCCATTGTAAAGTGGTATTTATTCTGTAAATCATCCAGCTTTCCCTCTGACTCTTCCACAGTTTTACACAGCAAAAGTGCTGTTTCACAATTCACATGTTCTGCAATCTGCATTAAGTCATCAGCAGGTGACTTAACACTGACCGGTGTTGGGGATAGTTATTTTTAAAACTAGGCCTATTACTCCCTAAAAAAACAGCAAAAAAACCCAACTAATTGTTGCTTAGTTACTTTTAATGGAAAGTGCTGCGTTACATACATTTTTCACCTGAAAAACAAGTTAATGAAAAGTCCCTTTTACACCAAAAGTGTCATGAATAAGCCTCCGGCTGAATGAAACGCAAATGCATCTGTACGGAGTAGAGGACACTGTGCTGCCATTCTATATTGTAGAAAATGGGACACAAGAAGAGAGTTCAACATTCTTAAGCAATTTAAAAAAAATGATAATTAAAATAGTGATATTTAGCTAAAGTCATTTTTGCATATGAGTCAGCAGCAAATACATTAGTTAAAGTGAGATTAAAAAAAAGTAAATTTTTTAACATTGCATTAAGTTTGCGCAATATTCTGACTTGGCATTTTACTGTTTTTATTCATTTTGTAGAATACTGAATCTGTTTATTGTACAAGTGAAAATTCATAATTATGTTTACTGCATGGTTACTGACACTTGAAAACTTTTAATGCACTTCTAATATGTCTTCTCTCCAATCACACTCTGCTTAAAAAGGAGATCAGGGACAGTTAAAAAATATTTATGATTGATGTAAGAAACTTCTATTTTAATTCTGGTGTACTAATAGCATAGCAAATTATATATTGACATGAGCAAACCATGTTTCAAACTAAAAAAACATCTTGTGTGAAAATCTGACCTTTTTTATAAAGGGTTTCACATGTCACCTCTATGTAGAGGCAAGTGCCGCTTTGACGAATCATCAAAACTGACGAACCAATAGTCGGTATCAAATATTTGAACGAACCAATGGGAAATGAGATAGGCGTGTCGCCGTCAAATTCAAGCGACAGTTTGTTTGGTAGAGAGTGTGTTGGACGTTGGGTTAGCAACACCGTGGCTGTGTGCTGATAGACTCGTTTATAAAGTTAAAAACAAATACGAAATTTATTTTGGATGACCGGATAAAGCAATGGAAACAGTGACGGAGGGAGACGTATCTAAACTATCTAAGATAGGTAAAGCGCTCTCCTATAACATAAGCTAACACCAGGCTAACGTTAGTCCTATGCGTCATGTTATGCTGTTGGATATTTATTGTTCCTGTCGATTCACATTTGTTTAGTTTTATACCGCTAAATTATAGTTACTAACAAGAATATAATTTTGGAAAATCATCAAATATTGATGTGAAAACCAATGAGCTGATGTTCAAAACACTGCAGTACGTGTGGGGTGTGTGTAGCTATGTGTTTGTGCGCGTGAGTGAAAGAGACACAGCTTTTGCCTTATATAAATGGACTAAATGTAATTACTTGTGGTGTCACTTCATCTTTCCCTCAGGTAAACAGCTTAATAAAGTTACAAACAAGTCTTAATAATACCTCCTGTATCTATACCAGGTTATCGTTTTCCATCATTAGTCCTTCTTGCTTGCCTTGACTAGTTTGTTAGTCATGTAGATAAACGTCATGCAGATCAATCTTAATATGAGCGCATACAAGTGAAAGTAGTTTTTTCATGAACCTGCGGTTGAAGAATGTTCTAACAAGGAGGTTAGGCGTAGTTAATATTCGTTTAGTCATGCATGACAAACTATACTCCCACCAACTACAACTATTTTAAACAGCTTTTTGCTAATCATTTTATAATTATAATTAGCAAAATGCTGTTTAAAGTAGTGAAATATTGATTTGATTTATATTATTATTTGGTTAAAAATATACAAGACACAAAACTAGCACATCTATAAAATGTATTAATTGCATGCAGGTATGTTAAAAGGATTTCCCTTTCATTTACAGAGCAACGCAAACTGAAATTGGCAGAATATCTGGTGGCAAAAGGAAGACTGAAAGCACCTAATCCAAAGTAGGTGGTCTTAAATGATCTTTCTGTCTGTAACAATGGGTGAACTGAATTTGTAATTCATTATTTAAAAAATGGAAATATTTTCACCATTTATAATCACCATAGTATGTTGTGTTTATCTTCTGAATAAACTTGTTTTTTTATTTTACTCAAAGACCATATCTCAAGGACAAACCTGTTACAAAGAAACCTGCTGAAAGTAATCAAAAGGAAAAAATTGTAAGTTAAAAATACATTGAAATTTTGCACTATTCTATGTTGAAAGTGTAGACTGATGAATTGATGTTTCTTTATTTCTCTCAGAGAGGTGATGCAAAGGAGAATTGTGGCATCAATGGCACAAATGTAAAAGAAGGGAAGAAATTGGCAGAGGTTAATAAAAACACATCCACAAAAAAAGGACTCAGCCTCCATTCACAAGCCAAAGCCCCAGCACAATCTTCCAGTAGTTCCAATAATACTTGCCAGGCAGGCTTTCGTCTCTTAAAGACATTAAGCAATAGCACTGCTTCCCTTCAAAATCCAAGGAAACCACACAAAGCTGAGGAAACTCCTGCATCAATCAATGCTGCAAATAGGACTCGTTCACAGCGCCTTCAAAATGATCAACACAAAGCCCATCAAGCACAGCCAGCTTCAAATACAACTCAGAAGTCAAAAAAATCAAGTCTTGTTTCAGTCTGTGGCCCTTCAAAGTCTGGATATGGCATCTCTGCTCACACACGCACAGATCAAATGTCCCGAACCAAGACGGCGCTTCAGTCAACAAGGCCTTTGGCTAGGAAATTAGCAGAAACAACCATCAAAACAACCTCAACTGCCAATTTGAAGAGTCAAAGACCAATGAGCACAACTGGGACAAAAATTCAGACAAACATTGTTTCTAAACCCCAGGCAAAGCTAACACAGCAACCCAGGAGTCAAAGTGCTGTACCCAAGATTGGCATTCACAACAGCAGTTCTCAGAGCAGTAAACTCATGAGCCGAAAATCGAATTCGGCGACAAACAGATTTGACGTGAACCAGAGAAAGGATATTTCATGCATTATCACAAAAGTGGATGCCACAAAAACAAAATCGGATTGCTCCGTCACAAACAGAGAAACAAGAACAAGTGTCTCTACTTTATCTAACCCTGCAAATAGTAAAGGATCGGCTATCATCAAAAATAAACAGAATATTACTGTTAAACCAATTAGTGCCACTGCTTCGACCAAACTCCCCGGTCGAAACACCAAGAGTTGTGTATTGCCACAGACAAGCACTGCGCCCCAAGAGCTTCAGCGGCCCACCAAGAGATCCAGCCAGGTCAAGCCTGCAGTGCAATTTCAGACCCCTAAATCCAGTTTCTGTCCCAGTACTCAAGGTGTCCGAACAGCCCCGGTAGATGGAGGGAAGAAGCCAACTGCAGCTCAGGAGCAGAGACTGTAAGTTTACTTCAGTTTAACTAACTGTAGCACTGTTTTCAGAGAAACGTTTATGTGAACTTATGCATGTTTTTTTGTCTTTTTTTCGTTCACTCTGCTTGAGCATGCTTTTATTAATGCTTTATATATATATATATATATATATGCATATGTGTTTACACATAGGCCTACTGTTTAATATTTTCAACTAAAAGAAAACTTTAACGTATACATTGTAAGCTTGTTGCGTATATTGCCTAATCGTAAACCTTTAAAAAAAAACGTAAAAAATGTTAAAAAATTAAACTTAGAAAATATTGTCGTTTTCGTTAAACTTCATTTAAATAAACGAATATTCGATTTTTATAAGCCCGAATATTCGAATGCAGTATTTTTTTTTTAAATGCCCATTCCTAGAACTAAGTATAGATTTTGTTTGTGTGTGTGTGTATGGGTCAAACCCTAACAGAAGTGTTGTCTGTACAGATGTAAGCTCCAGGAGTGGCGGGAATCGAGGGGCATCACATATAAACGTCCTCCCATGCCTGTCCGGCTGATGAGAAGGAAAACGGTCTCTGCTATTCCTCAGCCATACTGGGCTTCTATCGAGAAAGAAGATGAAGTTCATAACATTGTCTTTGCTGTGGACCGGTCACTGGATGACTGCATTCAATTATTACAGCAGGTATTATTATCATAGCCAGCAGTGAATTTTGACTCGTACAAAATGACACTCCACATAGTTGATGTACATCAAAAATGTTCGGACTAATTGACTGTCTAGCTGGATTTTTGCTTTTGAACAAACAAATAGCCAGGCGTCTATCCTGGTTAACACATGGACAAAAAATGCTTTGCTCTATCAACAAAATGCTTTGTATAAATGTAAAAAAAAAAAAATCGCTAACAAATTCTTCTAGGGGTAGAATACCCCCAGCCCTACCTATTTATAAATTACAGTAAAATTACTTCCATAAGAACTCCGATTGTCCCAAAGGAGATTTCTTACGTCAGCCATTCTGACTTTGTACTCTTACCGGTAATCTTCATCATACTCTTACCGGATTTTTATGCTTGGTAACATAATTAATCGTATCTATTTAAAATCCACCACAATGGTAATGTTAGAACTTCCCGTTAAGTTGTTTGTAAATTGCCAGAACCGATTTACCAGTATATTTGAAAAGGACTGTTCACACATTATTTTTACTGGTAATTTAGTTTTCCAGTAAAGATTGTATGTGTGATAAGGGCTAAAGTGTAATTTTTTTTAGACAAACCATTGTTATCCCAACATTTGACTGCATACACATCACCTTATAATGTTTCCTTGTCCTGCTTTGGTTGAACAGATCTCATGTGTTTGCCATTTACTGACATAAATTGACCATGATGTTTACCATTCTTGTCCAACAGTCTCACTGCTCAGAATTTATGGTCTTCTTGAGCTTTTCTTGAGCTCTGTTTTTCAAGTTGCATTTTACTCCTGTATTTATTTGGATATGAATGATAATGAATATGAATGAATATGAATCTAATTAGATGATGCTTTCCTTTAAGTGCTCACAAGCGTATTGAGAAATGATCCAATGCTGTTTGTCTTTTCTCTGACAGGGTTTCCCAGTAGAAAAGGTCAGAGATGTGCTGTCTCGGGTGCCAATGGCACAGAAGTTTGCTAAATACTGGATCTGCCGGGCCAGACTAATGGAAAGAGAAGGAAACCTGGATGTTCTACCCATGTTCCAGGAGGCCATCCGTGTAGTGAGAGAGGTCAGTCAAAAACACAGACTTTTTTCTTTTGCTTGTGTTTTTTTTTATTTTATTTTTTTTTTTTTATTCTGATAATCTGAGAAGCCCATGAAAAGGTAAATGACAGTATTTATATAGCACTTTCACAGACCCATGGCCACCAAAGTGCATTACATATTGCCTCGCATTCACTCACTCATTCATACACCGACGGCGGTGTCTATCATGCAAGGCGCCATCCAGCTCGTCAGGAGCAGCTGGGATTAGGTGCCTTGCTCATGGACACCTCGACACTTGGTCAGGGGGTACCAGGGATTGAACCAACAACCGAAAAATAGACAGTTTGAAGCATTAACCGACTGTAAGAATTTTGGGTGCATTTACTGACAATTTGAATTGAATTCTAGTTTAACATAATCTTGTCGGATAATGGTGAAAATTATCAGTTAATGTTTGTCGAAATTAAGACATAGTTTTGTTAGCATTTCGAAATAAGCTAATTCCAGTTACTCCTTTGGCTAGAACTTACAGTAACAGCAAATCAAAGTGCATGAGTAACAGACTTGTTTTCACTTAATTTGTTTTTTTTCTCAACAGCCAGTGGATGAACTACGATCTGTGGTTTTTGAGATCCTTAAAAAGGGTCAGATTCAAGGTAAAGTAAGAGGATGAGTAATACATATTTCTGCCATACGGTCACATACAGTACATGTTTTTGCAATTGCTTGGGTTTGGATTAGGTGTGGATTATTGGTCTATTATTGGTTAACTATCAGTTAAAAGTGTAAAATTACTCAATTATATAATTAAATATGGAAATAACTGTTGTCATGTTTTTGAAATAAGCCTCATGCTCACAAAGGCGTTTTTTATTTTGTAAAGAAAGTGTTTTGTGTAATATTATTACAAAATAAAATATATTTTTTAAATAATAATATATAATTTTAAATATAATTGTAATGGCAAAGCTGAATTTTCATTACTCCAGTCTTCAGTGTCAAATGATCCGTCAGAAATAATTTACATTTATTCATTTAGCAAACGCTTTTATTTAAAGGGACAAATTTGAGGTAAACGAGAAACAATTCATTTTAAGAAGACAATAAATGCAAGAAATGCCAATAATACAATCCAGAAGCTAGTCATTTTAGACAATTTTTGTGTGAGCGTATCAGTGAACACCCCAGACTACTCGGTGAGTTTCACGTCTTTGTAAACTAACTAAGGTTTTATGCGTTTTATAAAGGATTGTTCCTTTGCACCTATGCAAACATTGTGAAGGTGGGGCTGACCGTTCTGTCTAACATTATCCTCTATCCTCATAACTTTACGGCTTGGTCCGTCATACGAGGATTTCCTCAGCATCCGAAATGTCATTGCGATCCATTGTTTTCCTGTTGTTTGAATCGACCGCTCTTCTGCCTGTTGCGTCATGCCCGCCACGCCCATTTTCAGACACGGAAGTAAAATTTTCTCACAAAAACGACTCCAGAAGCTTATGTAGTGCATTTATAAGTATATTTTAAAGAAAATCTAGTTCCTACATTATATTTCTATGCATTGACTCGTTGGGTCCTCTAACCTGCAATATGCCCTTTAAGCCATTTATTCCATAGGGTAAAATCTCAAGGTGTGCCTCTAAAAGTGTCCGGGTGAAACAGCATGCTACTTTTATTTACCTGTCACAGTTAACTTTACCAGCCACAATACAAAATCACCAGCATTTGGCTGGTGGCTGGTGCCATTTTCCATCCCTGGCCTGTACGTAGTTCATAGCCAATCATTTCGATTATACCAGATGATGTATGTATAGCGGTTTAATGCCAAAAGCTGCTCTTTTTTTCAAAATTAGCTTGCGTTCTAAACTAATTAGGCCGTGTGTCCACCAAAGCATTTTTCCACGCTCCTGGCAATTGTTTTCAATGGGAGCGATGCGTTTTTTAAACGCCATGAGCGTAAGGAGGCGCTGAGCGTTTTTTAGTTTTTTAGTTCTTTTCACACTGAAGCCGTGTGTCCACCAAAGCATTTTTCGACGCTCCTGGCATATGTTTTCAATTGTTTTCAACGGGAGCGACGCGTTTTTTAAACGCTGACCGTTTTTCTTCGTTCAACTTTGGAAAAAACGCAGCGCTCATCACTGTCACTTTTTACCCAGCCGTTCAATCACAGTGGAGGAGGGGCGGGACTAAACCACACTGACCAACTGTCACAACATTCAAAATGTGCTGCAGATATTCTGTATCATAGCAACGAAACTTCTCAAAGGAAAAAACACTGCGCAGCCAAAACGCTCTCAAGCGCCCAAAGCACGGCGTCTTCAGCAGAGCGTCTAGTGTTTTCAGCTGGCTTTGGTGGACACACGGCCTTAGAACAGTATATAAGGCTGCATTGAAAGGTAACCGCATCTGCTGCCATGTTTGATCCATAAGTATAAACAAACTGCATCAGTGCGTCGACATCGTCTTGCTGCTTCCTCCCCGTTCTGTGATTGGTCCCCTCGCTGAGGTGAAAATCTGGTTCATGGTATCCAGGCTGCCTGGATACTATGGTGCGCAAAGGCAGCATGGGGAAACCCAAAGCAATAAAAAGTACTTTAAATCACTTTGGATTAGTGTCTGCTAAATGCGTAAATGTAAATGAATTATATATATATATATACCATGTTTCTTATGCTGTCCTGTTTCATATCTCACCATGTTTTAAATCATTCAGGTATGTCTCCGATGCCAAAAGAGCCTGAAATGCTAGAGACTAGGATGCATGAAGAACAGGAAGTCGGTAATGTCATGTGCACTCCAAAACCTGTCGGGGCCATCATATGTGGAATGAGGGGAGACTCCTCTGTCGTCAAATATAAAATTACAGCCACCCCAGGGTACGACACACACACATACTAACTTAAATTTGAAAAACCTTGATCTCATGTGCACTGTTGCCTAAAGTTTCTTTGGAATAAGTAGCATGTTAGGACTGTTATAGATGTAAAATTCCATTTCTCTTTTTAATTTAAATAAAATAATAGTAACACTTTACAATAAGATTCATTAGTTTAGTTAAGGTTCAACTAATTTAGTTAACAGGAACTAAGAATGAACAATACTACTTCAGCATTGGTCAATTTCAACATTTAGTAACATTATTTGAAAAACTATTTTTTTAACATTAGTTAATGCACTGTGACTAACATTAACAAAGATGAATAACTACTGTAACAAATTGTAATGCTCATTGTTCATTCGTGTTGGTTACGAGAATACATTGACTAATGTTAGCTGATGAACCTTATTGTTAAGTGTTACCAAAATAATAATAAATTGAGATATTTTGAATCCTATATTTACTTCTGTATAGTACCAGTAAAACGTTGAATACAACTCATTCTTTATTAATACAATTTTCCACATTTAAAATAATTGTAATAATCAACATAACGGCTTTTAATCTACAAATGTATGCTCACTATAAGACATTTTTACAAGATTATGCTTGCTTTATAAACTAACATTGGTAACACTTTACGGTAAGGGTACAATGAATTATCATGAATTCATGTATAAATTAATGCATGAATTATGCATTCATTCATGCATTAATATCTAATGAATCATCAGGAACGAACACAAGTGAACAACACCTTAATTAAAACATTAACTAAGATATGCACATCATCATGAATTATGATTTATTACGCATGATCATGATGTTTTCTTTGTTCTTCGTCTAGGTCAGTGACCTAGTCACCACTTTATTTAAGGGGCCACACACATGATGAAGTCATTAACAGATTAATGCTTAGTTAATGATGACTATTGGACAGACACCATAATAGACCAATCACAGCTCATAGCACACACATTCTGTAAATCAAATACAGTAGTCATCATTAACTAAGCATTATCTATCAATGACTTCATCATGTGTGTGGCCCCTTAACTAAAGTGGTGACTAGGTCCTTTGAAACACTGATGAACAATGTGCTATTGAAAGGTGGCATAACTGTGAACAAAGAAAACATCATGATCATGCGTAATAAATCATAATTCATTCATGATGATGTGTTCGTCTTAGTTAATGTTTTAATTAAGGTGTTGTTCATTCACAAAGTCATGAATGAAAAACGTTGAACTTGTGTTAGTTCCTGATGAATTATGAGATATTAATGCATGAATGATGCATTAACTTATACATGAATTCATGTACCCTTACCATAAAGTGTTACCCTAACATTTAAACATGAGCCTTAATATGATTAGACTGATATTTATATAGGGTGTTTGACTGTAAAATACAACACCACATCAACATGATAATAGCATAGACTAAGTAATTAATATTGGTACATCAAATTACACTCGAGAAAATGATATATTCAACCCAGTCCTACAAATAAAAATATTTAATACAGGAAATAAGTCATGATGATTATCTGCTCTTGTTCCAGCAATACATTTAGTAATGTCTGATTACTTGGTATTCTCTTGCACAATTCAAGGGGGAAAAGGTGTCAGCAGGGAGTGGAATCAGGACAAGTAGACGGTCACGAAATCCGTTTCTTTACCCCAGTGCGGCGTTCAGTGCGGATTGAGAAAACTGCTCCGCGCTACCCAACAGCCTTGCAGGAACATGACCCCTGTGTGACCTCTCTTTGTGACCTTGCAGGTGAGAGTAAGGAAGAGGTCGAAGGTAACACACAACCCCAGAGCTCTCCTGTGTATGTGTACCGGGAGAATGAAGCACTGAGCGACCATGTTCAAGTTAAACTTGTTTATCCAGAGGAGGTTGAAACATTATAATGTTTGTTAAAATGCAGTGACCTTCATTTTCCACCTGGAAGCCAAGAATTGTTTTTATAATTGTTTTCATTCTGTTTTTACTATTTGTTTGTAATGTCTTTTGTACTATAATGCACATTTAGACAAGCTCATATACTACTAAACATATTTTTGCTAGGTTTAAGCCATACTGGTTAGATGCTACCTAATTGGATCATATCTTTGTTGTCATGAATTTCAACATTAAGCATTGCTGTGTAAAAAACTTCAACAGAAGAGTTAATATTCTGTTAATCAGAGATTTAAGTCAAAACTTTCCTTTTAACTTCAGTTATAATTTATGGATCAGTCTCAATCTCTTGTGCATGTCTGAGCACACATGAATTTTAATGTAAGAAATTGGATTTTACATTATAAATAAACCCTATTTAAGTTCCCAATGCTATGATTTTGTTCAAACGAAGCTGCAGAATTATAGATTAGTGTTCTACAATCTGAGCAAACAAAATCTCTAGTGTTTTTCTTTTTCTTTATTTAATCTTGAAATGTAGATGTTTGCTGTTGATTGGCAGAACACTTTGTGAGATTTTTAGGGTAGTAAAACTTTAAAGGTATTAAAGTTCATGTGCTACTGAGTATTTGCTTTTTTGGTTCAGTTAAAGGTCGAACAATATAAGTAGTGGTTTAGATTGGAGTAGAATGTGGTAGATGGGAAACCGTTGCGTACGTTCACAGGACAATGAGGGAAGATTTCAACCCCCCAAAATGAATCTTTCATCGTTTACATATCTTTTTTTTTTTTAAACTGTTGACTTTTGTGTACTTTAGACAATAGCATAAAGGTCATTTGCAGTTCATAGCAGCTGAGTTAAGATGTGATGCAACAAAATACACCTCTTTGGCCCAACTTAAAACTTCTAAAAGTTAAAGTTACCACGAAATCAAAATCGACATAACTTATTTTTTATGTAATATTGCAATATCTGTAGGCTAATCATCCATGCATATCACTTTATTTTTATAAAATTCATAAGCCTTCTTAATCTGATGACGTTTACTGCCGTGAGGGTGGGACAGCAGTAGCAAACCACAAATATCCAATAAATTCCTGATGGACAAAATCATGCCTCGCCTTTTTTTTTTGTTTTTTTTACATGTTTGAGAAGCCATTTCACTTCGATATGTCCCAATAGACTTACAACTTTTGTTTCATGCTAACTTAAAAAAATATATAATAACATACCAACAATCTAGGTTACTGTACGGCAGAAATATGAAGCTTTTAATTTTAAGAAAACACTTTCACATTCTTATGTTAAATCTTTGGGGCTGTTAAAATGTTCTCGTCATCTTGCGGTCTTTTAAGGAGTTTCATTGTGAGGGCAACGGCTATAAAATTGGATAACTACAAAGTAATTTTGACATGCATATTGTTGTCTTGTGGCTATACTATTGAACCAGTATTTCAACATTCAAAATAAAAGGTACACTATGTAACTTTTTTTTTTTTTTTGCTTAAAATTTACAAAACTTTAAGTCGGTATGTCATCAATCCTTCCAAAGCATGTTTTTGTCTAACTCTGATTCATTAAGCCATAAGTGTTTATATTTTAGACCGGGCAAGATGGTTTTTGTGGGAAATCACATACACATCTCTTCACTCGACCGTGTGCGTCTCATCATATCTGAAAATGGTAACAGTTGCTCCTTCGATGTGTGTGGTGTGGGAGCGCCATAAGTTAGTTGTCACAATTAGAGAAAAAGGTTGAAATGGAGCAGCTAAATCTCAAATAACCCATAATAAAACTCAGAACAGAAGTCTGCTGGTAAAAAGATAACGTGACAGAGCTCGTAATAAATCGTGAATCAGCATTAGCTTGGTTTTTCGGAAATGCTGAGAACTGAAGGATTTGAAATATTGTAAAACAAAGCAATGCAGAGGTGCGTTTTTGTTACTTGGTTGAATAAGTTATATTATTGAACATAAAACCTGAAAGAGACAAGTCACTTCTCTTTATATAGATGTGGAATAAATAATTGTGTGCTTTAAGCAATCAATAAATAATTTGGAGTAAATAATTTTATATGTCTAATATAATATTTTGTATTAACGGTGATGTCATTTCCGGCAATGACGGTTAGTTTTTCTTCTGAAGCAATGTTGGAGTGACAGTTTTTTGACCGTGTAACATTTTCCAGTTAAACTTGACCGAAAAGAACTTGCTGGACTATAGTATGTTATTTCAGTTCAAATCACGCTCACCTAAACATGAAGAAGTAACAAAGGATTGCTATCACAACCCATATCTCACTTACAGGGTTGAGGGTTCATTGTAAAGCATTATCTATTATGAAAAGGTCACTTCATTATGGTTGCAGCACTGTGCTGGAATTTATTTAAGGAAGGTACCTACCTTGTCTTTTAATGGGTGAAGCTGCAGTAACGTCTTCCGCTAGTCAGTTTGAGATCTTGTCCATCTAAACTGGTTATATCTCTTAAGACAAGTAGTGAATATTTATGAGCTCAGTCAAATATGTTCTTCCATAAAAAAACATGCATGCTGTTCTGTTTTTTCATCTGATAGAGGTCAAAAGGTTACATAATGTACCTTTAATTTTTGTTTAAATTAATATGCCACAAGTCCTGTTGGTTGCGCTAAACTTTTATTAAACCCAGAATATTACATTACACCAAGTGTAAGGCATTGTGACCTTATTTGCACTGTGTGTGCTGTAATCTTACACCACGCATTCTGTTTTAATAGCATGCTGTTCATCCTACACTGAAAATATCTGTTTATTAGTGGAGAAAAACTAAAGCCAAATGTGTATTGCACAAGTCTTGCACAACACCATTTTGTCACTCTCCTTCTTTAAAAATCCATATATAACAATATTTGATATAAATATCAAATATTGTTGTATACACAGTCGTGACCAGAATTAATCATACCCCTGGTAAATATGATATAAAATGGCTGTAAAAATAAATCTGCATTGTTTATCCTTTTGATTTTTCATTCAAAAAATTGGCAAAATTGTAACCTTTCGTTTAAGTAAAAGAATTGAAAGTGGGGGGGAAATCACATAATCCAAAACACGTTGGCCCCAATTATTCATACCCCTAGAATTTTTTTATGAATAAAATGTCTATGAAGTATATTCCCATTAATATTTACCTTTTTTAGCACACTAGGGTGACTAGGAACATGAAATTGTCCAGTCATGACTTGTTTCTCAGGAGTTTAAATATGAGGAAGCACAAAGGCCAAATTTCCTGAATCATCCATCACAATGAATAAAACCCAAGAACATGGTTCTGATGTGCATCAAAAGATTGTTGAGCTTCACAAAATAAAAAGTGGATGTAAGAAAAATAGCTAAAGAATTGAAAATTCCCATTTTGACCATCAGGACAATAAGTAAGGACTTATGATCAAGTAAAGTTACGATTCTGCCAGGAAGAGGATGTGTGTCTATTTTCTTAAAGGGTTAGTTCACCCAAAAATGAAAATTAAGTCATTAATTACTCACCCCCATGCTGTTCCAACCCTGTAAGACCTTCGTTCATCTTCGGAACACAAATAAAGATATTTTTGATTGAATCTGAGAGCTGGATCAGTCCTATATAGACTGCCTAAGGCAGGGGTTCTCAAACATTTTGGTGCCAGGGACCCCTTTCAGGGGAAAAAAAATTCCAAGGACCCCCCTCATATTTATAACAGTTATTGAGCACAAAGTTAATGTGTGAGCGGCAAATGAAATATTTTTGCACAAAATGAATGGTCTCCACCCAGGGTACTATGCAGGAATTTCTAAATAGCCTACTGAGGTAACGAAAGTGATCTTGCTAGGAATCACTTAGGATCCCTCACTTAGGAATTTTTGATGTTCTTGATCTACACATGTGCATTTTAAGGTGTTTTAAGGCCCCACAATTGGATAACTATAGATTTAGTAGAAGCATGTCAGTCAGTGGCATACATTTTTTTTTTTTGTCAAGATGTCACGAAACACAATCACATATTCCAATCAGGAATGGCCTTAAAAGAGAAATGTTTCAATAATTAGGCCTATTCTGCACACAAATAAAGCCCATAAGCCTATAAATACAATGATAATGGCATTATGTTTAATAGGTGCGTGCGTTGTTAATTTGAGCTACTGTAATTAGCTAAAAAAAACATACAGTATATGTTAAATATATGAATCCATAATGTTAATCTCATGGGCACAGTATGTCTCTATTGACCTGCTTTTTCCTTTTTTAAAGTTGAGCTTGATTAATACTTTGCAAACTGATTGTTTCAGTCGTTTTTTAAAACTTTTATCGAAAACAGCTGTTTAGTTTATGTTAATTAAGGCCTACATCTTATCTCGCACTTTATGACCGTTGACTGAAACGTCGTGCGGGGAACTTTGAGTTCACTCCGACTCAAACATTTTGACATTGACGAGCTATCGTTGTTAGTCTGCTGAAGCACCTCAGACGAGAAGGTCAGTATCATCGCGATGTGCATCCTTGCAACCTCAGTTGTGGGTACGGCCCTGTCACTATGCACTTTTATTTTTGATAATGATCAGACTTCTAATGTCAAATCTACAGTAGCAGTGCTAGAACTGACTATTGTGCGCGCACGCGAGACGCCGGCGCGCGCAATTACATGGGAATTTTTCCTCAGCAGTGGAAACAGGAATACTCTTATTTATGGTCATAGATAAGACAGAGTGCATCATCCGAAACGGTAAAGTGTCCATTTTTTATTTGTGTATAGGCTACATTATAAATGACTACAAAATGTCATGCCTTTTAAAAATACAGAAAAGAACCGGATGCGGGTTCATGCCGTCTCTCTGACTCCTTTCTGGCGCACGTCCCGCAAAATCAACAGCAGCGAATCTACTTGACGCAAAGACAGATTATCTATCTATAGAAAACTTTAAGTGTCTACTTTGTATTGTTTTATGTTAAATGCTTTATATAAGTTACTTAGGAATAAACAGCATGTTTTCAGATGATAAAGAAAACATGACTCATAGCATGGAAAAAAACGTTAGGTTGTAAATTATTTCGCGGACCCCCTGGCTTTAGCTCGCGGACCCCTGGACCCCACTTTGAGAACCACTGGCCTAAGGGACTGGCTCTTGACGGCCCATAAAGTCATTAAAGAAAAGGTTTAAATATTCCATGTGCCTACAGCGGCTCAATTCTAAGTTTATCAAGCGACGAGACTACTTTTTGTGCGAAAAAAACATAAATAACGACTTTATTCCACTATTCCATTACTTCCTTATGGGCGCATGCGCGAGAACTGAGACGAGGACGTTCTCATTCGTCTACTTCTTGTTACCGGCTGCTCACCGCTTAGGAGTTTTACCGCCACCTACCGTATAAAATGAATGATGATCCATATATAAGGCGCTCCGGATTATAAGGAACACTCGTTTTTTGAGAAGATTAAAGGCTTTTAAGTGCACCTTATAGTGTGAAAAATAAGCAAATTGAAAAGCGTATGTATAGCGCGCATCTTCCTCTGCTTGTAAACAGAAAGTTTTGCGCTTCCAGCTATATCAGCACATCATCTTATACGGTAGGTGGCGGTAAAACTCCTAAGCGGTGAGCAGCCGGTAACAAGAAGTAGACGAATGAGAACGTCCTCGTCTCAGTTCTCGCGCATGCGCCCATAAAGAAGTAATGGAATAGTGGAATAAAGTCGTTATTTATGTTTTTTTCTTGATAAACTTATAATTGAGCCGCTGTAGGCACATGGAATATTTAAACCTTTTCTTTAATGACTTTATGGGCCGTCAAGAGCCAGTCCCTTAGGCAGTCTATTTAGGACTGATCTAGCTCTCAGATTCAATCAAAAATATCTTTATTTGTGTTCCGAAGATGAACGAAGGTCTTACGGGGTTGGTACAGCAATTACGGGTGAGTAATTAATGTCTTAATTTTCATTTTTGGGTGAACTAACCCTTTAATGGACGGTGAGGATGAAAGTTTGAGTGGCCAAAGACTCTTCAAGGAACCCAGATGGAGAATTGCAGAGATTAGTTGAGTCTTGGGGGCCAGAAAGCCTAAAAAAGATTATCAAATAACCCCTACATCCCCACATGTTGTTTG